CTGTCGCACTCCGCGATTAGGAAGGAATTCATCACTGGCGGCCCCATTGAAGCATAACTGCATAGTCGTCGACCGAACACAAGCCTTGACATTCCGAACAAACTCTACTGGAAAGCCAGGCGCTTCGTCCACAAAATCCCACCGGAAGAAGTCATAAGCTTTCTCCAGATCAACTTTAATGACCATGAACCTAAAATGAGAGTAGGCAATTTTAGCTAAGTCACTAATAATGAAAAGAAGCAATTTGGCGTGACCGCTATTCTGCCACATCACACAAAATCTTTAAAACATGACAATTGCCACAAACCAAAATGGCTTGTTTGTTATATTGGACATGATAACATCTTGTCAAAATGTTACATGATGTTTATTTTTTATTGTAAATATGCACACATTAAAATGAGATGCATAAATAACGTTTTTTATGCGAGCCATGTAAATAATTTTTTTCTTTTAATGATAATAATCTATATGTATATTAAAGCAGAGCAGCTGAAAAAATTGTTGTTTTCCGCTCATTCTACATTAATTGTTTTTCATTATTCTATGCAAAATAATTTAATTCTACACATTAATTGTTTCTGTAAAGTAATCTACACGTTAATTGTTCCTAATTATTGGACATTGTTATTTTCTCTTTAATGATTGACTAAGTTCGTCATATGTTTGTCCTTAAATTGAGAAAATGACAATATCGGTAATAAAATGTGATTACCTATGCAAACTAATTTATTCTACATGATATTGACAATAAGACTAGCAAAATTCAGCTATTATTATCTATGTAAACTAATTTAATTTTGCGTGATATAGTCAATATCACTAGAAAAATTCAGATGTGTTGAATGTTTTTTCCACAAAAAATAAAAACATACAACTATGGATCATGTGTGTTCTTTTCATTTAATTAAGGCGAAACCAAAAACATATTTAATAAATTTCAAGTAAGGTTCATATTATTTTTTATCATATCTTGCCCCAAAATTTGAGTAAAAAAGTCGAACTCCAATTCATGGGAATTTTAATGCCAATAAGACAAAAATTGAATATGAGAAAATAGAAGCCAATTTTTTTTTGAGAAAACACCAACCAACAAACATATTTTTTCTTTATATAATGAACACACTCCAAGGAATTCAGTTTTGTTGACTTTAAAATTTATCTAAAATTAAAAATAATAAACATACATAAAAACTAAAATATATATATATATATATATANTAAAATTGATCTCTTAGCAATATAAAAATAAAGATTGGGAGTTCGAATCTATATCTATATCTTTATATAAATTAAAGTGAAATAACTAAAAATTCCTTCTAAAACTGCATTAATTACCTAGAATAAATTTTGCCAACTTTTATGTAAAATTTATCTTTAAAATAACAATTATAATAGTTTTTTAAAATGATCAAATAAATATGTATATAATTATTCATTGAAGACTTGCACTCTAATTCACGTGGTCAAATAAAATTTAAAGTTAAATTGTTAATTCCAATGTAAACAATTCAGACAACAAAATATAACAATTTATTATAAATACTTATTGTATAAATAATTATTTAGTGTGAAGTTGCATTCTATTTTTCTATTATTTATTTTTTTATTCCTCTGTGAATAATATAATTATTTGGATTATGAAAACAAATTATATTATTTATTACTACCCATAGTGTGCATTGCATATGTCCTATTATTAACACACACATGTGTGTGTGTGTGAGGTAGCTTGGAGAAAAAAAAAATTCCCTCCAAGACTATATTAATTACCAAGAACTAAATTTTGCCAACTCTTATGTATGATCTATCATTAAAATAATATTTATATTAATTTACTATTAATAAATATATATATAATTATGTATTGGGAACTTAAGTAACATGTAGGAAAAAAAAACCTTTAAAACTATATATATTATCTAGAATACATTTGATCAATTTCTAAGTATGATATATCATTAAAACAATGAGTATAATCATTTGAAAATAATTAAGTCCATACATAATTACGCATTGGGACTTGCTCTACAATAATATTAATGGCTTTGAATAAATTTGTTAAATCTTGTGTGGATAATTCAAAAAATAAAAATGAATTATTTGTTCAAAGATTTAGTTCAAAAAACAACACATTTATCAGTATAGATTAGTTTATGTATAAATATAATATGATATTATTATAATCTAATATGGACTACAAATAATATATTTTAATAATATAAGAAAAAAGTACGAATGGTTTACCACTTCATAAAAATAACTATGTTTATTATTGGTAATATTTCTCAAATATCTAAATTTCGATACGAGAATTCATTGATTTGATTAATAACAAATTGCAAAATTAAAGAACCAAATTTTATATATTTTTATTTTATTTTCTAATAACTTCGTTTAAAATTTTAAAAAATACGAATAGAGAGAGATAAAAAATAAAGTTATATTTTTCATAAATAATATAATTTATTCAACTAAAAGCGATAATGTTTTTCAAAATATAAAAAGTATCATCTACAGATAATGTGGATGAAACCACATGTGCATATGAAATATATCTCAAAAATATTGAATAACCTTTACTTGAAAAAAAATATATCTGAATTTAGGTTCCTTTTACCAATATCAATCAAGAATATGAAAAAAAATTGAAACTAAAGAACAAAAGAATAAGAGAACTTAGAATTCGAACACGAAATTAAATTTTGATTGTATTTATGGTAAAAATTACATAGATATTTAAGAACTGATATATATTTAAAAAAAAAAAGTTGCTAAAGTGTAGAGAGAGTTACAGGATTTCAAATAGATGGAACTCAATTTTTTAATTGTTAAGATTGAAGAGAATTCATAATAATTTTGGTCTGATTGGAAAGTGACCAAAAAATGCAAAGTTTGTTCAATTTTGTTTATTTTTAGTTGGTATAATTTTATTTTATTTTGTCAAAATATTAAATAGGTCGTCTAAACATATGTACATAAATTTTGTCATCCTTTTAATTTCTTTAGTGGTCTATAATTATACAACTATAATTGCTGAAAAAGAGTATAACGAGTTCATTTATTATTGTATATCAATATTGTTTTTGTAAGAGTGAGGGGAATATATTGTCTTTTATCAAAATATTACGATAAACGAAGTTTAGCACGACATACTACAAACGCAACAACTATGTTCTTTTTAATCATATATCACAAGTGTTAGTTTTACTTTTTATTGTTTAAGAGCTATATATTATAATTTAAATATTTTATTTTTATTGTTTTGCAAGAATTCTATCAATGTGTATTTAATAAGTTAAATTATGGTTCTCCTAAATTTAATGCAAAATAAGTGTTGCTTATTATATAAGCATTGACGGTGATCATCTTGATTGTTACCTTAATATGACCTAAAATTATAAAGTAACTAATATCTTTACTATAAAATAATAATTCGATATATATAGACATTTATAATTTTTATTTTTTACTTTTAGATGGACATTTACTGTCACGGTTTATTTACGGATAAAAAAAAGACTAATATTGCATAATGATATCGTGAAAGATAAAAAGAAAATCAGAAAATGATTAAAAAAAAGAATGAGAGGATTTCAACATAAGCGATAAAGAGTGACAATATGATTTGATTGTGAAGACTGAATAAGACAATATATATCTATCATCCAATTATTTAGTGGAATTTTTGTTATATACGGGGTCTTTTATATTGGTTTTGGTCTTTTATGTATGATAAGAAGGAAGTAGTTTGAGCCCAAAATGCATATTTTGTTTCATTATGCAACTATAATTTTTTATGAATATAAATAACATAATTTGTTAATTGTTGTTATTTTTTTATTATAACACTTTTTCTTTTCTTAAGAGAATGAAAAGAATATATTACTACTACCAAAACGTTGCAATAGACAAAGTTTAATGCATCAACTACTTCCTTCTTATCATACATAATAAATGTTTGTTTTATCAAAATAAATTTTAATATTTTATAATTTATATAATATAATATAAATGTATCTTTATTATTAATGTATATTTGAAAAAATTATATTAAATTACATTTCGTATAAGTTACATGCAAAATATAAGTAATTTGTTATTGACATGAATATTGAAGATTACTATGTCTTTTTGTAACTTTACAAAAAGTGATATATCTTGCACATTATTTTGATCACCATCGGACTTATTTTGCAAACAATTGAATTATTGAATTTATTTTTCTAATTAGAAAAAGTGAAAACTATGTGGATCGAAACTGAGTCTTTTTTCTATTTTTTTTCTTAGGTATTTAATATATTTTTTAATTTGATTGGATGATATTTGTGTATTTTTATTTGAATTACTATATATCACTTTATTAATAGAATAGAAATAATGACTTTATCTACTCATAAATGATGAAAATTATGTTATTAGCCAGATATTTTTGGAAAAAGTTTCAAAAAGTGTCATTAATGTGACAAATACATTTATTCGTCAAATATTACTAATATTATTTTAATTTTAATTTATTAATTTGAAAATTTTATGAAAAAAAAATGGTATTGTATAGTCACAATTAGTTATATGTTGTTGTTTCTAGAGTCACAGATCCCTATTGTTTGATGATTATTATCTATGATGATAATGGGATTAATGAATACAATTCATCAACTACTAATATTACATTTAGAAAAATATTTCAAAATATAATCAATATGTTTTAATCAACTAATATCATATTTAGAAAAATATTTTAAAATATAATAAGTTATATTTTCATCAACATCATTTTTAACATCAAGTCGCGCAACGCGCGGGTCACGTAACTAGTTAATTTATAAGGGGGTGCCTGAAAGTCTGAAACTTGTCCAACAATTGAGTGTGATTAACATTATATCCTCACCATTATGATCTTAGAAATTAATTAATGAATAAATAAAACCAAAAGCATATATCACGTAGGATCCAAATGGGCAGAAACGTACAATTACTCAACAGACAACATAAAATTAGTAAAATCCAAAACAATGTAATTAGGTCACCCGCATCCAAATTAATCAAAGCTATCGAACCTAATTACAAATTTTCCCATTTGTGGCAATTAGCCAACAGCTCTATAGAGGGTACGTAGTACTTGTCCACTCGCTCCCGTCGTGCAGAGCCACAATTCTTTGTCAACCATTTGGATCCCACGCTCTCCTGACCGCGCGTGGACACACTCAACGTCCTTCCTTCAGGATTCATCTACTTTATCAGATCCAGATCCGTCTCTCAGCTCCAACCTCTCTCTCTCTCCCCTCTCAATTTTCAACACATAACCCAATTAGGCAATTACAGTGAACTGTGCAAACCCGTTCACTCAGTTAACGAGCGAAGAAAATATGGCGCGAGGAGGGGGGTGGCGAGTTGTCGTTTTGTTGCTTGTGTGCGCCGCGGTTAGTGTGAGATCGGACGGGTCGGATCACAAGTACAAGGTTGGCGATCCGGTTCCGCTTTATGCGAACAAGGTTGGCCCGTTTCACAACCCTAGGTAAACATGCCTCTATTTTGTTTGTGCGTGTGTATTTTTGGCACCCGAAATGCCTGCTCTACGCGTTGGTATTATGCTTGGGTGATCTTCATTGGTCGTGGATTTTGATCGCATGGTTGTGCTGTTAAGAATATGTGTTTGATTGTGCTTGATTGCGTTGATTAGGTTGCGAAGCTTGATAGGCTTCTCATTACTGTTTCATGATGAATGTTTTCCAGGGAGATACAGTGTTTTGGCTCTAATTTTCGTCTGTAGGAGTTGGTAGCTATGAAAACGTGATTTTCTGCTGGAAATGTTAAACAGCGGCATGAAACACCTTTGCATATAGGTTCCCGTAGAGTTGTATTCATGTGTGGTGCAATTACGCTTAGATGTACACAGCTTGTACATATTTGAAAAAAGAATGTGGAAGTTCCGTTTTTTAGAGATGAGTGGGGTGATTCTAAACTTGTGTGGTGGAACTCAGGAAGAAATTTTTGTGCTTGTTAACAAGTTATTTGTGGGGATGATTCATTCTCTCTGTCCTGTGGTGCTAATTATATACAGGGTTAGTATCTAGTAGGAACATGCTTAACATAAGGAATCCTGCTGAATACTGCTACTTTAGCAAGATACAATATTATATTTAGCAATGTGGTTTCATTACATATATAATAGCTGTATATATAATGTATTTTAGCACTACATATATTACATCAGTACATATAACGTATTTTAGCAGGGTCATTAGTTCATACATTAAGAATTAGTTCCTATCTGATCCGCAGCCTATATATATTTGAAGGAGTCCGAGAAACAATCAGAGTGAACATTGTGATTATCTTTGAAATATTATCTCCATTTCCATTTTTTTTATTAGGTTGCCTTCTCTTTCTCGTTTTAAGAAGTGCCATAAATTTAATTATGTAATTCTTCTCCATTCCAGTGAAACATACCGATACTTTGATCTCCCCTTCTGTTCTCCAGGTATTTCATCTTCCCATGCCTGCTTACTATATGTACAATATTCTTTTATAAATATTGAGATTTCTTCCTGTCAGGTACTGTGAAGGACAAAAGTGAAGCTCTTGGTGAAGTGCTAAATGGTGATCGTTTGGTTAGTGCTCCGTACAAGCTCGACTTTTTAGTTGACAAAGAATCTGAAGTCATCTGTAAAAAGAAATTATCACAGAAAGAAGTTGCTGAGTTTCGAAGAGCTGTTGCAAAGGACTATTATTTTCAAATGTATTATGATGACTTGCCGATATGGGGTTTCCTGGGAAAGGTTGACAAGGAAGGAAAAGCAGATCCTAGCGAGTACAAATATTACCTATTTCAGCATCTCCATTTCGAAATATTTTACAACAAGGATCGTGTGATTGAGATCAATGCACGTACAGATCCTAGTGCCCTTGTGGACCTTACTGATGACAAGGAAGTTGATGTGGACTTTATGTACTCAGCTAAATGGAAGGAAACTACTGTACCTTTTGAAAAGAGGATGGATAAGTACTCACATTCGTCTTCACTTCCTCGGCACTTAGAGATCCATTGGTTTTCAATAATCAATTCATGTGTTACTGTTCTTCTTCTTACTGGTTTTCTTGCTACGATTTTGATGAGAGTGCTTAAAAATGATTTTGTCAAGTAAGGATTTTCTCAGTTCTATAATATTAAAGGAGATATGAAAATGTTGTTATTGATATTTTTTTGTCTTGGTGGAGGTATGCCCATGATGAGGAGACAGCAGATGACCAAGAAGAAACTGGATGGAAGTACATTCATGGTGATGTTTTCAGGTTCCCAAAATACAAGTCTTTATTTGCAGCTGCCCTTGGTAGTGGAACGCAACTCTTTACCCTGTAAGTATGTCTGGACAAGTTTGTCTTCTCAAGATTGTGGACAAGTTTTGTCATAGATATTGCATTTTTGTAATATTGGTTTTATATGTGTAAGAAGTGAATGATGTTCTCTTTTCCAGGGCAACTTTTATATTCTTACTCGCTCTTGTTGGTGTATTTTATCCCTACAACCGAGGAGCTCTTTTTACTGCACTGCTCGTTATATATGCGCTTACATCTGGCATTGCAGGCTATACAGCAGCCTCTTTTTATTGCCAGTTAGAGGGAACCAATTGGGTAATAAATTTTGATCAGTTACAATTTCTTTAGTACCATTTGGAATTGCCATGCTGGCCGCGACTCAAGGAATTCCCATTAATAGCTTGTTTTGACTTCACATGCAGTGATTTGTTTATTGCTTAGTTGCTTATCTTCTAGTGAAATGACATTTTTTTCGGTCCACAACAGGTCAGGAATTTATTGTTGACTGGAGGCTTGTTCTGTGGACCACTCTTTCTCACATTTTGCTTCCTTAACACTGTTGCCATTGCTTACCATGCTACTGCAGCTCTTCCCTTTGGTACCATTGTGGTTATCTTCTTGATATGGGCTCTTGTGACATCACCTCTATTAGTATTGGGAGGAATAGCAGGGAAAAATAGTAAGGCTGAGTTTCAAGCTCCTTGTCGCACCACAAAATATCCGAGAGAGATACCACCACTGCCTTGGTATCGTGGGACACTGCCTCAGATGGCCATGGCTGGATTTTTGCCATTCAGTGCAATTTACATTGAGCTTTACTATATCTTTGCCAGTGTCTGGGGTCACAGGATTTACACCATTTACAGTATTTTGTTCATAGTCTTCATTATCCTATTAATTGTCACTGCATTCATCACTGTGGCTCTGACATATTTCCAACTTGCTGCTGAAGATCATGAATGGTGGTGGAGGTATGTCTGACTTCTAGCATTGTGCTACCACTTTTGTGCCTTCATGATCATATTTATGTTGAATTTGCTTTTATTTTGTTATGTTTTTCCCTTTTTTTTTTTTTTTTGCGCTTCTTGAATTGGTTCTTTCCTTATTTCTGCTTGTAAGTTAAAGCCATGCTACTGATCAATCACTTATTATGTGTCCTTTACCTCTGAGCTTTTGTTTTTCTGACCCGTCAAAGACTACATAATTTGGTCACCCCCAGCACTAAATTATCTTGTTGATGCTTTGAGTGGCATGGGGTGTTTGCTTGTAATATTTTTTTGTAAAAGAAAACGTTTCCATGAACGTACTGAATTATGAGTTGGTTTGTTTGGCAAACATCTGTCAAATCCATTATTTTGTTGTAAGAGGACTGAATCTGGCACATGAAATGGGATGTGGGTCTTGCTACTGCATTTATCCTAATTCTGCCAGTTCTACGTTTTGACTATTATTGATGAATAACATATTTATCTCCTGCGATTTGTTTGCTAAAGATTTATGGCTGAAAAACTAAATGAATTTTCGACATATATCAGCAAAAGAATATGAAAGACAGAATGCATTTATTTATGTGACCGTGGTTGAACCATTTCCTAATCTTTTTGGTGATGAAATTTGGATTTGGTTCTGATGCGGTTCCCTATAGTGTTATCAGGATGTTACTTTCCCTATTCATGTGTTCAAATCATTGTCAGATAAACTTTGTTTGAGGTGTGTCCCTATTACAAACTGATTACAGCAAAAGAGTTGCGTGTGCATAACAAATTATCTCATGTTTTCACCAATCGAACTCTGTGGTTGATAATGACATTACCTTGTTTATATTTCCTTTCTGGATGTGGAGTTCATGAGATCTGTGATCCCATTATAGTTCATTCTGGACTTTTTCCATATCTTCAGGTCTTTTCTTTGCGGTGGATCAACTGGTTTGTTTATTTACGCATACTGCCTTTATTACTACTATGCTCGGTCAGACATGTCGGGCTTCATGCAGACCTCGTTTTTCTTTGGGTACATGGCTTGTATATGCTATGCTTTCTTCCTAATGCTTGGAGCTGTAGGTTTCCGTGCTGCTTTGTTCTTTGTGCGCCACATTTATCGCTCGATCAAGTGCGAGTAAGAATATCCTGTAATTTGTCCGGACTGGTATGTACCCATCCAATGGAGAACTACTTTTCGAAATTTTAATATACTGTAGTGATCATTAAGGATGTATGCTCTTTTTTTCCCCCTTTTTTAAAGTTTTTATAACTTGGAAAAATGTAGGCTGATTTATAGGAGTAATAAATGATAGCAAATTACTACTGTAGATTGTTATATCATATTTTATAAATTTGATTAGTAAAAATAACAGTATAATTATAAATTATTTTACTTATATATGAATTGCTCTATAGATTGCAAAAAAAAAAATGTTGTGAATAATGTATTTTTTAAAAATTTTAGATATCGTGACTAATAAAGTAGTTGAAAAAATATTAAAATTATTATTACATTAATTCTTTACACAATTTTAAAGAATTTACTATGTCTTTAAAATTAATTAGTTATTTAAAAAATCTCTTAATAAAATAAAAACATAAAAAATTAACTTTAAAATAAGTACCTTAAAGAAAAAATTTACTACAGGGTTTTCTATACAAACTTGTAACTTACGTAAACCTTTAGTGTGGATTTATAATTATTTAATATTAATAGTAATCTATTTCTATTAATATATAAAATGACTAAGTATTTATCTTAAATAATAAGAAAGATCTTGTCTAAAATTTTTAATACTATGTGTTTGGTTTGGAGTAGTAAGTAAATTTCACTTTTATGTATGCGTATTCCAGATATACAAATATATCTGCTCAAGATGAATTTCTGTTAGTGTAATTTTGATTTTATATTAAAGTAATATTTAAAATAAATTTATTAGAGTTGATTTGATGTAAAAGTAAAAGAGATGATATGAAATGATAGATAAAATTATATGAGTGGATGAATAGTAAATTAAAGTTGATGTAATGTGTAAAAGTGATTAGTTTATATTATTTGATTATATTGATAATAATTAGGATAGTGAGGTTGAGTTAACATTGAGTTAAATTTTAAGTATAAATTAAGTATGAACTGGGCTATTTTATGTACAAACACACATGCATATATATTCTATTTGTAAATAATTATCTCAAATAATATTTTATAATTTATTATTAATCTAGTTACGACAATGGCGGTTAAACTATATATTAATATCTATATAAATATTTTCTGATTTCATGCATGTATTACAAAAAATTACACATTAAAAGTTAGCAAAATGTGTGGACAATAGAAACTAAAAATTCGGAACGTTATAAAATATATTGAGAGAGAGAGTGCCAAGTATTGATAAAGCAATGGTTTTTTTTAAAAAAAAATATATTTTTTAACCATTGATTTTTCACCTACAATTATAGGCAAAATTACATTTTGTGTCCTGTAACTATACCTGTATGGCAAATGTGGACAGCTTCTTTCTGGTTTGGCAAAAGTGTCCTGAAACTTGTTAAAATTTGGAATTTGTGCCCAATTTACCTATAAGTTACCGGATTTGATCGGATTTTTCGTGTGGCAAAACAAGACAGTAACTTGTTAAAATTCGAAATTTGTGCCCAAATTGGGCACGAATTTCGGTTTTTAACAAGTTTCAAGGCATTTTTGCCAAACCAAAAAGAAGTTGTCCACATTTGCTACACACCCCTAGTTACATGGCATAAAATACAATTTTGCCACAATTATATATGGATAATTAAAATGGATGGTTACAAGTTACAACATTCAATTTTTCTAAGACAGAGTATTGCTTCATAGTTCTTAGATCTTGGTGCAGGGCGTGTCCATAAATTTGGAGAACCCAGACAATTTATTTAAGAGTGGTCCGTTATCGTATTTTTATATTTTTATTTTCTTAATTGAACAAATAATAATAAACATTGCCGATAATAAATACGAAAAATACAATGAATATGAGAAAGATAAGTAAATTAAAATACAAAACCTTACAACATTCTCGTCTTCTTTTGGGTTGTACAAAATTATTAATCAAGTCACTATAATCAAGTTTCATAACCATTTTTTTTTTCAATGGATAACAACGCCAAACCATTCAATCTATCCTGAGACATACTTGACCGAAGATAATTTTTTATCAATTAAACGTGAGATTTGGTGTTTGAATCGTTTGATTTTGTGAAGTGAAACTCAACTCGGGCATAAGAAATAAAGTAAATTTTAAATTTATGTAAATGGATTTATGTGAAAGGATTGGGCCAAGCCCAACACAAATGTATAAATATATAATACATAAATATATATCTATATATGAGGCCCCTAAAATGTTGAGGCCCTAGACAGGTGCCTTAAATTTTTGCCCTAAAGTCGGCTCTGTCTTGATGCCTTGATTGTGGTCATGTCCGACTTGGGTTGTTGTTTTCAGATGTTTGGTGTGAAGTAGTGGTTGCAATGCCTAATTGTTCGGGAAATGGGAAGGATATTATTCTACTGTACAATGTACTTGTTTCAGTTTGAGCAATATATGTCATCTATCATTTTGAAAAAAAAAAAAAAAGAAAGAAAATTCTTAAGTGTGTTATGTTTTGGTTTCACGCTAATTTTAGAGGTGAGATCAGTTCGGTAATCGAACCGAACTATAGTCGGTTACCGAATCTTCGATACCGATATTGAGAAAAAAAAATGACAACTTTTTCATGAACTGAAGTTGTTCATGTTCATCTAACAAGTATTGATGTCTTCGGACATCATCAACTGCGCATATGTCTACAGCATCTCCGGCCAACAAACAGATCACTCCTTCTCCTTCCCAAGCTCAACTGCCCTTCATCCTCTACTTTATAGCCATTTACAACACCTGGCAATCGTATGTGGAGTGCATGGCAAGTATTGGCTTATTGGGGTTGTTCTTCGACCCTAGAGAGCAGACCATTAGGGGTAGAGGTGAGCAAAACCAAGCTGAAACCGAACATTGAAAAATCGCACAAATTTTGGTGTTTTCACCGATTGTATATATATATACTTTTATTTCTTTTTAATTTGTATTGTACATATACAGGCTGGTTTTGGGCCTTTGGTTTGGGTTGGCTAACATTAACATAATTAAGTAAAGTAGTAAATAATAACAATAATAATTAACAATTAAAAATATTATATTAAAATCTAATTTTTTGTCCTAGTTTTTCACTTTCAGTTCACATATTGGGCCTTTGGTTTGGTACTGTTGCACATTAGATGATGATGATGATGTAATTTCATTTCATTTTGGGTTTCTTTTTTAATTTGCGGTTAACCGAAACCGCACCGCACCGCACCGCACCGAACCGAAAATTTCAGTGCGATTTTGGTTCGATTTTTCTTCCAATTTCGGTGCGGTTCGGTTTAGATAAATGAACACTTTCGATTTTCGGATTTCGGTTTTTTGCGATTCAGTGCGGTTTTGCACCGAACTGCACCATGCTCACCCCTAGCTATGGCAACGGTGGACACCTCGCAGATCTTCTCCGACGGGAGACCTTGGAGGCTAGAACGGCTGAAGAGACCGAAAGAGATAGAATGTAGAGGCTAGCGTATGGTTAGATGGATTATGGGTTCTAAGGTTTTTTATGCTTAGGATCGAGCCTATTAACATATGTGATATGGGCCTAATTGAATTTTTCTTTTTATACTTAATGGTGGGCCTCTAGGTATATCAATTTTCATCTATGGACCTAATGAAAAAAAAAAATAGAGCAAAATACCGTCGGTTCAGTTTGGTATTTACCGAACCACATAGATCCCATACCGAAACAAAGCTATTGGTAACCAAAAAGTTCGGTTCAAATCAATTCAGTTTGATTCGGTCGATTTTTCAAAGAAAAAAATTGTCGACCCTAGCTGATTTTATGCCCAAGATTATGAGTGCACAAAATATGGTTAACTGACCGAAATAAAAAATTATGTTTGGACCAAAATTGAAAGCGAATATTTGATTTTGTTTTTAGTTTATATTTTCTTAAAATTTTTATTTTCGATTTGATTTGGAGAAAAGTGTTCGGTTATCCGAAACTGATTTGAAAGCCGATACTATTCATATATGTTACAAAAAGCCCATATACTCAACCAAGCCCATCTTTTTAGGCCCACCCAAACCACGAGTTCCATTGCTACCATCCTCATATATTACTCAACCAAGACCATATTTTTTAGAATCCTTTTTCTTGTCTTTTCATTTCTCTATTTTCTGTTTATCTGAGATCTTTTAATATTTGTCCTTTTGCTTCATTGTTCAAAAATTATACTACAGTTGACGCGAAGCTTCATTAATTTTGCTTGGTTTTTGAAGGGTTAACATGAAGAGCTAATTATGTTGTGATTACTGATTAGTTTTATAATCATGCATTTTTTAGGCACAAAATGCAAAAGAGACGGTTCAGGTCCTTCAGGATGTTCGAGGACTTTTTTTTTTGTGTGGCATAATCATGCATTTTTTGTAGCTCACGATTGTTGATTTTTTTTTATTTTTTTATTTTTTTATCATTTATCCATTGTACCGGATAATCGACAATCGAATCAATCCAACCGATGAATTTTTTGTTTGGAACAGAACCGAATCGAAACATAAAATATAGTTCAATTTTCGGTTTATATGTTGGACAAACCTAAATTTCGGTTTTTAGGACAGGCCTAAACTTCGGTTGGATTTTGACCAATTGAACAACCCTACCCGTGGGGAGACCTTTCCTGCGGCGGACTCTCTCTCTCTCTCTCTCTCTATTTGTAAAAGAAAAAAAACCCTTTTTCCCCCGATCTAAAATCCGATCTTAAAGTAGCCCCCTTCTTCCGGTGGCGCGATTCCTATGGTCACTGGACCATTTCTGGCCGAGTCGCGGCTGAGTGCTTTCTTTCCACCTTCAGGAGCGCTACGGGTGGTTGGCCGGTGGCGATTTTCACCCCCGGTTTATCCCCCACCTCCAGCGAGGTCGTCGGCCGCTGTTGCAAGGCCCAACCGCAGAAGTTCGACGACGCGTTTGGAGGCTCGATCTGTGCGACCATGTTCTTCCTAATGATGGACTTTGGTTTGAGTGAGCCTAATCAGCGGTCCCGTATGCCCCTGTTCCGTCAGGCTGCAGGGCTTTCGGGACAAGCGGCTCGATTGTAGGTTGTCGTGTCCTCGATATTTTGTCTCGAGTCCTTCGATGGGTTCGTGACAACTCTCCTTCCTTTCCCCGATGATAAAGGTCTTCGGGGCTCAGATCTGGGCCAAAATTCGTCTAAGCGGTAGAGTGACCGCAGTTTTTGGGTTTGGAGCCTAGTTTTGTTACTCAGTTGGACTTCTTTGTTATGGGTGTGACTTGGTAGATGATTCAAGTGGTTGTGAGTTTCAGCTGTTAGGTTTAGGGAAGATTTTTACTCTATCTTATTGTTTATTTATGTGTGTGTCGTTTTTTTTTTCTTTTTTGTTGTTTTCGTTCGTTAAGTCCAACAGCGTCTGGGATTTAGTCTCTTTTATGGAGTGGGGTTTTTGTGTACTCCTGATTGGAGTTGGTACCTCTTAAACGCCTGCTTCCAAGGAGGTAGATCAAAATTTTCTAGTTCATTTGTATCGTTGACACTCCTATTGTACTTTTTTGAGTTTTTCATTATTAGGCTATGTTTGGTAAAACTAGTTGATAGCTGATAAGCTAGCTTATAGCTTATCAATAATTTTTGAGCTTATAGCTTATAGCTTATGACTTATAGCTGAAAAACTAGCTTATATGATAAAAGTGTTTGGTAAAATTAACTCATAAGGTAGCTGGAATAAAAAATTCAACTAGCTTATTTGAAAAGCTATCTAAAGAAGCTTTTCAAATAAGCTCGAGCTTTTTAAAAAAACTCGTCGTACGAAACGAGGCTTATTTAAATACAGGGAACTTATAAGCTAACCAAATAAGCTATAAGCTAGCTTATTTATCTACCAAACACAGCCTTAGTATAATCATCATGAAAAAAGAAAAAAAAAGCCTTCCCAAGATACAAGAAGACAAAATAAAAATTAAATAAAAAAATATATACATTGTTGACGGTCGTCACGTCACTCAACTATCTGTAACCCACTCTCTCGTAGTCGCGTGGGCAGTTATCTTGAATTTCATTTTACTACTATATGAGATAGATCGAGATCTGTGCTCCCCCGTCTGTAGATATTCTTAAACCCATTCGCTCTCAACGTGTTTTCTTCAAGAAAATGGCGACAAGAGGAGGGTGGCACGTCGTAGTTTTGCTGCTGTTATGCATCGTGTTACCGGCCGTGAGGTCTGATGCATCCGATCACAAATACAAAGTCGGTGATCCGGTGCCGTTGTATGCGAACAAGGTTGGGCCATTTCACAACCCTAGGTAATTATTAATGCTTTTACGTCTCTCTCCACCTCGTTTGCTTTCTTCTTCTTTTTTTTCCTGAACTCATATGATTTCATCTTGTTTGTGTTTCTTTATGGAGGCATTTGATCACTAGGTATAGAATGTAAATCAGGCGAATTGTTTTTGGTTATTTATTCCTTTTTATTTGCGGGTTTGCCTGTTTTTTATTTTTGTCGACTGCTGAGGATTTATTTTCCCCGGTTTTAGCTAATCGGTTGTGTGGATTTTGGGACTGATGGAAGATCCTGAGGATTTGATGATGGAGGTTTTAAGAAAATCAAGTGAGGTATATATAGTAGAATTATACGATCGATATCCATCTCCATCCTATGAGCACCCTAGTAGAGGGACTATCTCAAGTGGGTGAGGGATTTTGGCTTTTTATTTCTTTTCCTATTCCTTTCTGTTTTCTTTTGAAGCAAGTTTTGGCTGCAGGAATGAGATGCAGCAGAAGAATATGTAATTTGCTCATCTATTTCATGTATAGTGGTAATTGTTGAATTTTGAGGCATGGACTCTGGTTTAAAAATAGCCGTCAGTTTTGATACTTATTTCATGTATAGTGGTAATTGCTGAATTTTGAGGCATGGACTCTGGTTTAAAATAGCCATCAGTTTTGATACTTTTTAGAGTTGTTAAATTTATCATTTTCCAACAAAATAAGGTTCAACTTCAAGGGGACTAAAATGATTGTATCAGCTTCTATAAATGATGATTTTTTTTTCATGGTCGGTAACAATGACCACGATGCATGTTTCATCTCCTTTTCACTTTGGACCAATGAGACATATTTAAGAAATGAAGTGATTGATTATTGATCAGACATATTGCATTGATATGAATGTGGTGGCTCCATCTCAAATAATTAGTGAAGGATCCACATTTTGACAGAGAATCTGACTAGAAGCTGGTTAGAAAGAAGTTTATGACAAAATTTTAAATTTGTTAATAATTATTCCTTGTTGAAGATTGTAAGATGGGTCGAAAGATTAGAACTGGTCCAAACATCGTGAATTTATGGGTGGACACTATATGATAACATAATTCAATATTTCTTTCATATTCTGAAAGTTATCTTTCAGTGAATGATGTGATTGTATCCTTGATGGGTGTGTTTGGTTGGGATAAGGGATGATGGTTCCTACCTTTTGCCTTTTCCTCTGTTTTACCTCTTATGCTTAAGAAGCTTTTTCAGAAAAGATCAATTATTCCTGTCACAAATATCCAGTAAACCTCTATTAAAAGAAAATGTATATGGTGACAATCTTTATAACTTAACTCTTGATCCTCTCAAGAGTATTAGCTTTATCTGATTTTGAAATGTTGTATAAATTATGGGATGACATTAATCAATCTCGCTTAATGGTAATGTGACTTCAGAAGTATATTTTGCATTAACAGCTTTTGCCAAATCTTAACAGTGTCTTTGAGGTATTGAGATTTTTATTATCTTTTTTGAAAATTTTGTTAATTCAAATGCTTTGTGAGAGTCGTTTATTTATCTTTATAGATGACTTGTAACATGGGGAATTTATATTGCTCTTTCTAAATTAAAAACCACCCTATATGTACTCTGGTTGATATAGAAGCGATATGTTCTCATGATTTCCTTAAAAGCAGCAGTTATATAACTTGTCAACAATGCCATATTCGCGAGCAAGGTTTTTTTAGGTTATCAACTGTTTTGTTTGTGTAATTATGTCAGTTTATGTAAAATTTTGCACTTGTGGGAATGCTACAACATTATTACATTTGTATCAGGATTGTAACATTATGAACTATTGATTTTCTTATCTTGTAATGTTCATATCCTGATACTTGTTTTTATTACAGTGAAACATACCGTTACTTTGACCTCCCATTCTGTTCTCCAGGTATTTCTCGTCCTCGTTTTTTCACTCATCAACTCCACTCTTTTACTCTGAACCAGACTTTCTTGCTGACAGGTAAAGTGAAGGATAAAAGTGAAGCTCTTGGTGAAGTGCTAAATGGAGACCGTTTGGTCAGTGCTCCGTACAAGCTTGACTTTTTGGTTGATAGGGAGTCCGAAGTCATATGTAAGAAGCAGCTGTCAAAGAAAGAAGTTGCTGAGTTCCGAAGCGCAGTCGCAAAGGATTACTATTTTCAAATGTATTATGATGACTTGCCAATATGGGGTTTTCTGGGAAAGGTCGACAAAGAAGGCAAAACAGATCCGAGCGAGTACAAATATTACCTATTTAAGCACCTCCATTTCGAAATCTTCTATAACAAAGATCGTGTGATTGAGATCAATGCACGTACAGACCCCAGTGCCCTTGTAGACCTTACCAATGATAAGGAAGTTGATGTGGAGTTTATGTACTCTGCCAAATGGAAGGAAACTAGCATACCTTTTGAGAAGAGGATGGAGAAGTACTCCCATTCTTCCTCACTTCCTCGTCACCTGGAGATCCATTGGTTCTCAATTATCAATTCATGTGTGACTGTTCTTCTTCTTACTGGATTTCTTGCCACAATTTTGATGAGAGTACTCAAAAATGATTTCGTCAAGTAAGGACCTCTTACGATATATTACATTCGAGGAAGTGAAAATTATTTCTATTGATATTTTTTTCTTTTTACTTTTTTTTGGGTAAAGGTATGCCCATGATGAGGAGACAGCAGATGACCAGGAAGAAACTGGGTGGAAATACATTCATGGTGATGTTTTCAGGTTTCCAAAGTACAAGTCTTTGTTTGCTGCTGCCCTTGGAAGTGGCACACAACTCTTTACCCTGTAAGTATGTCTTTGGAGGTTTAATTGATGTACTCAAGTATTTGTCAACATGTTTTGTCTGTTGTGGTAATTGCATTTGAGGACTATTGATTTTACCTTCGACAGGATTAACTGAAATAATATTTTTTTCTTTCCAGGGCGACTTTTATATTCTTACTTGCTCTTGTTGGTGTATTTTATCCCTACAACCGAGGAGCTCTTTTCACTGCACTGGTGGTGATATATGCACTCACATCTGGCATTGCTGGATATACAGCAGCATCTTTCTATTGCCAGTTAGAGGGAAAAAATTGGGTAATATATATAGATTAGTCACCATTTGTTTGTTTCATTCGAATTTCACATGTAGGTGTCTTCGATGGATTTAATTTTTTGTGTTTAAATTTTCTTGTTTCATGTTCTCTGAATTTCGCGCATCACTTTTAAGAAACAAGCCTTTTTCTGTTTGTCTGTCTTGGACACTTTTTCAGACTGCTTGAACCTCTAGGCGGTTCCCGAGAAAAGATGTAGTTATATAGAGGATTTCAGGTTAGTTTCAGTCAGATGATAACGACTAAGTTGTTGTAGCCCATTAAGTTGTGGAATACATATCATATGCTGATCGAAACTTGTTGTACTTGTTACTTTCATGTAGTTCATCATTCAGTTCGATGTGAACCACACTGCCATGATATATTGCTAATATATGTGTATCAGATGTTTTGCCAGCAGTATTCTGTTTTTCTCTTGGTTTCTGTGTGCACGTGTAGCATCCATACCTTTTCTCACCTTTTTATACTTTCTGTTTTAACAGGTCCGGAATTTACTTTTGACTGGAGGCCTCTTCTGTGGACCACTTTTTCTCACATTTTGCTTCCTTAACACCGTTGCCATTGCTTACCATGCTACTGCAGCTCTTCCCTTTGGTACCATTGTAGTGATTTTTCTGATATGGGCTCTCGTGACATCACCCTTACTAGTATTGGGAGGAATAGCAGGGAAAAACAGTAAGGCTGAGTTTCAAGCTCCTTGTCGCACCACGAAATATCCTCGGGAGATCCCTCCACTGCCTTGGTACCGAAGTGCCCTGCCTCAGATGGCCATGGCCGGATTTTTGCCATTCAGTGCCATATATATTGAGCTTTACTATATATTTGCCAGTGTCTGGGGTCACAGGATTTACACTATTTACAGCATCTTATTCATAGTCTTCATTATTCTCTTGATTGTCACCGCATTTATCACTGTGGCGTTGACATATTTCCAACTTGCTGCTGAAGATCATGAATGGTGGTGGAGGTATGTGTCGTGTTGAGTTTATCTTGAACATCTGATAAGCAAATTACATGCTTTGTGCATGATTTGAGGTTTCTCGTGCTTGTAATGTTGTGTTGCGTAGTCAGTTTCGGTTTTTTGATTGGTTCTTGTTTCCTATTTGCTCACTCTAAAATAGTTTGTGACATCTAAATTAATTTTGTTGTGTCACAACTCTTTATCGCACTTTCTAAAATTTTCATGTTGAGGGCGCGTTATGCTTGCAAATAGTAACTAGATGGATTTGGTGATTTGTAATAGAACTTGTTCTGTGGTTCACTCTCTAATCCTATGATCTTTTACTCACAATTTGTCAGGTCATTTCTATGTGGTGGATCAACTGGCTTGTTTATTTATGGCTACTGCCTCTACTACTACTATGCGCGGTCTGATATGTCGGGCTTCATGCAAACGTCGTTTTTCTTTGGGTACATGGCTTGTGTGTGTTATGCTTTCTTCCTAATGCTTGGAGCTGTGGGTTTCCGTGCTGCTTTGTTCTTTGTGCGCCATATATACCGCTCGATCAAGTGTGAATGAGGAATCAGATTGTATAATCATTTTAAGTTCGACAGGTATTCTTCTTCTGTATTGGAGCAAGCTTTCTGACTTGGAATGTAGTCATACATTACTGTTTACGAAGAGATTTGAATTCGACATTTCTTTATATTTTTGTTTCCATGTTTACAGAGAAATTGGCAGGGTGTGATTGTTTTTGATGAGTTGGGAAGAAAAGTAGGGGTCGATGACAAATTAGATATGGTGTCGTCTCAGAGGAAAATTTATGCATGGTTTCTTGTGGACTCAGTTTCCTGAGAACCAAAGTAGTTCTTTTTGTTTAGGACTTACAAAACTTATATCAAATAGTAGGTGAAGTTTCGTTATTTTCATACTTTCCCCAAGTCTTGGAACATTTTTCATTGAAGGATGTGAAAGAGGTGATAAGCTTGCTATTCAGTGCCACGCGTTTTATTTGACCAAATGCATTTCTTAGGCTGTTATCCACGATGATATTCAATGGTGATTTAAGGAGCAAGTGGCTCGTCAAAACTCTTTACCTTTGGGTATTATTGACTGGAATAATTGGAAATTTATCCAATGAATTTTCGTTATACAAAGCAAATTCATGAAATATGGTATAAAATATTTAATTATCTAATGCACACACGCCTATATATGTATGGAAACATCTCTTAGCTCGTGAGTTGATAGTGACATTAAAATAAAGTACGATGTTTGGTACGTCGCAAAACAATTCAACTTCATTTGGCTTTTCTTTCAGCATCTGGAAGCAGAATCGCTTAAATAACAAATAATTTCATAATATTTGAAATGTGAAGATTTAAAATACTGTAAGTTAATCAATAAGTAAGCAATAGGCATAATATGTTTCTCAATAAGCATCCAGGAAAACAAGTATATTTGTGGTCAAATGATGTTTCTACCTCAACTTTTTTCATCAAAATCACCATATTATCTCATTTATCAAGTGTGCTATTTATATCTATCAATTAAAGTCAGATTATTAGTAACAAAAAAATTAAAAGGCCAACTAACAACTCACAAATGCTCTCTACATAAAGAAACAACAGCAGCTGTTNATTTCCCTTTTTCCAACAAATTTATCTACTACAAGCAGAGGCTTCTCTCTGATTTCATGTAGCAAAATAGTCTATTTGACCTATTCTTTCTTCCAAAAGAAACAACAGTTGGTGAAGGCAACTAATCTGAATGTAAAGACAAGGCAAGGCTAATTCTCTTCAGAAACCTTGAAAAATGTGTATGACAAAATCAAATTGTTGATGCCATCCATCTTTGGATCTGTTTCGAACTCTGGGTCAATGTAAAAGAAAACCTACACAATTCATGCTAATACTGTAATACACATTAACAAGCTTGCAATGAACCATTGTAAAAGGAATAATAGAAAGGGGCCCGACTTACTGGCATGTCAATCTGTTCTCCGGGGAGAAGTCGTTGCTCCTCAAAGCAAAAGCACTGTATTTTATTAAAGTAAACGGCAGCCTGAAAGAATCGGACAACTGAAAAAATAAATGTCTCTTCACAAAAGACAGACAATTAAGGGTCATGAACAAATTTCTAGTGTCTTCTTTGGAATACAAAAGTCAAACTTAAAGAACTGAGAATTTGATTTTTCTGTCAAACCATTTACAGTTGGATATCTTTCATGAAGATGTCATGCAATTAACAAGGAAATAGACAAAATGATAAGTTTTCAGAGTGACATATTTACACTTGATAAAGCGAATGCAAGAAGGATTAGAAAAACAACAGTTGAGTTATAAAACAATAAGCCGGACGAAATAAGAAACAAAAAACAATCCAATTACCAAACTACACATTGGCAGGCTTATTTTACAAAGAAAAGAAAATGCATAATAACAGACGAGCAAATATGTTTATATCATGTACAAACTTCTGAGAAACATTTTTTTCTTTTTTTATACGTCGATAAACAATACTGTGAGACTAACTAATTAACTATGGAGTATATTAGATAAAAAGGATCTGTAGTGTTCAAGCCTTAAATCTGATTGTTGCTGTACTTGATAACATTATGATAGTAATTTTGAGAATTGGCAGATTTCCATTTTAATTCACTTCTACGTCCATAAAGATGTCCATAATTTGAAGTTGAACTAAGCAAAAACTCGTGGGTTAAATGAGTCGTGTGTCATACCATGCATCAATGATAGTGATATATAGGCAATACCTCAAGCAATTAATCAAATCAGCAATATTTACAAAACTAAGCCAACAACAACATACCCAGTATATTCCCAACAGGTTGGGGTCTGGGGGTCAGTTGTACGCAGACCTTACCCTTGTAATTATACAAGGAGGCTGTTCCGTAGCGACCCAAGGTGCATTGCTCCGTTTGATATATTTTTTTTTCTAGAAACTTCACTAATAGAAGAAGCACTAGAATTTGATTGAGCAATTTTGATCTAGTCCATTATTAGCACTATGCCAGGAGAATTGTCAACAATGACTCTTCCAGCTCCATTTGCAATGGACAAAATTTACAAAATTAAGCTNAAAGAAGAAGAAGAAGAAGATGAAAGAGGTTTACTAGGTGCATACCAAATATTGCTAAAAAATCAATAGATCTTAAGCCATCAATGTTATGTACCTACATAGGAGTGACATTATACGTGGATACCCCAGTTATTGGAGTTGAACTTTTATTTTCAGCAGTGTAAAATGCAAGGGCACTCTCCCCTGGCTTGACCCTTACCTGTAAATGTCAATTGGCAGAATCATGTTAAAAGGCTAAACATATTTAAAATGTAGGCAAAATTTCTTTACACATGACCTTCAAAAGTGCAAACTGACAAGAATTTATAGCGGATCATGAAACTGCCCAGGAGATGTAGCTTACTCGCAATAAATTCCTTTCATCTTACAAGTTACAAGAAAAGCAAGAAGCATCAAGATCTATCCATATTTTCAAGATGTAGCTTACCCATTTTAGCTGGTATAGTATGTCGAATAGCAAGAAGTATCGAGATCTATTAATATTTTCAAAGTAAATGAACCTTTTTATTTAGTTAGTTACTTTTGACGAGGTGGGGTAGTAGGGCAAGTGTGATCATTTGAGACTCATGGATACTTTTTATAATTCTCCCAACAAAATCTCTGTGTACATGAAAATTATGCAAATTACTCAAACACCTCTCTCTGTGTTGGAATAAACTTCCAGGGCATCCCGTCAGCTACGTCAGCATTGAACTGCACAACAATCTCCCTGTCCATAAGAAATAAAGATCATGCAACATAACTACCAAGGTGAAACATCTTACCTTTCCATTCAGAAGAGCAGACGGCTGTTGGAAAGGGATAATTTCTAAATCCGGCATATAAAATAGTAACAAAGTAAGATAAAAAAGAATCGTAGAGGCCAACAATAATACACCGAAAAATGGATTTTAAGCATCGGCAAATAAGCCACTTTCTGTTTTTGACTCACCTATAGATTATTATTCCGTCTGGACAAACTATTGTCTCAGCAAAATTAAGAGAAAACTTCATAAACATTTCATGACTTATATAGGAACTATAAAACGCAAAATCAACGAACAGTTGGGGAAAATGTAAGACAAAATCAAACTTCAAGAATGACTCATATAATTATAAGCCGAGTCTTTTCAGAGGTAACCATAAACCACAGATGCCATTGTCGTCTATCCCAAATATATATAAATATAGTCCGTTAGGATGTGTTTGGACATTCAAGTTAATGAGTATAATAAAGCCACTAACTTCTACTGGAACCTCATCGTGTAGATTTTCCAGATTTATCTGTACTAAAATCCTGTGCTTCAGGTCACCTTTCCTTATCCTAGTAAAGATTGCACTCAGCCATGCAGTGACTAAAAAATGAATAAAACAAATCAGCATCTCTTTTAAGCTACGGGATTTTCACCTGGACGTGAAAGTTCCATCCTTTGCATGACGGGCAATCTTTTCTTCAACACTCTACAAAAGATCCAACAGGTATCACCTCTGTATCAAACTATCAATCGAACATAGTAAATAAAACTAAATAAATAATTACCGCAAATGAAACTACTTTACCTCCCGACGCTGAACAGTGCCCCCATAACCAGTAGCTTGACAAAATCTCCTGTATAAAGGAACCGCAGCATAGCTACACCCCACCATAGCAAAGACTAACCCAGTCAAGTACAAAAGCATCTTCTTCGATTTCTTTTCTGTGGTAGCATGTGTAGAATAATGCCGACCATAATTGATAGAATATGACTCTTGCAGAGTACAATTCCTCAATTTATATCCATAATTCGACATGAAACCCCGAGAGTTAAACCCACATGCTGGGCTGTATATCTTTCCAAAATAATTGTACTTTGAACCCACAGCATCAAGCTGGTGCCGTAATGTAAAAACAATGGTACCATATTTCTAAGTAATAAATGAATAGATACTTGAGTTTAACATCAACCAGGACTTGTGATGTAATTATGTAAATTACCTGGATAAAAAGGGAACTTGACAAAGAGGGACTTTATTGCAAGAAAATAATTGGGTTCCTCTAGGTAACCGGGAAAACGACATTTTGAGTGAGCGTGGTGGATTGTCCAATGTAATGTCAGAACGAATTCACAGCATCTGCCAGACTGCTACTGAAAAAGAAAAATGTAGAAATGAAACCCATAATAAATCTCTGAATAATAATTATGTTAAGCTTCCGAACACAAAGCAAGACCAAAACGTAGTGGATATTACACAATAGTCTTTGTCAAGAAAGGGGGGAAAACCTTCATAAAATTATCCCAAACCAAAATACAATAAAGAAAAATTATGAACTCGGAGAACAACATTAAACATTTCTGCAATTTTCAGAGGATTGACATTTGAAGGTTTCTGGTCATGGGTTTTCTTTTCGCACGATGTGGGTCATAAAGCTTACTGACAAAATTATAAATCTGGGAAAGATATAATTTAAATAATAACAGGAATTTTCGTTCGACTCAGCAATTGCACTAAAAGAATCCTCTGGGTTGATATCCAACCTATTTAGTAGATATCAAATTTTTCCAATTGCAGACACTTCTAGTTCAATTCTCGCTGTGCAACAAAAATTTCGTAAAATTTGAAGTCGGGCAGCCACTCACTCCCTAAATTACTCTATTTCCTTACTGCCTTTTACAGCAACAAAAGGACACGAACATTGACAAACTGAATAAATAACCTCGAAAGCTTTCGAGTATCTCTAAATTTCAAACAGTATCTTTCTTTACCACCAGCATTAAATTCCCTAATAATTCACAAGCATCTTCCTTTATGTACGTTTAGCCACAGAGCAGGATGTATTCGTGATAAGGAAATCAAATTAGAAGAACGAAACACTACACCGTCGCGGTACGCCACCGCGCCCTTGCCGTCGCCGATCACTGAAATGAAATGTAAAGGAAATGACTTAGAACGGCGTAGGGTGTTTAGAGCATCCACACTGCTTTGGGTCTCTTTTTGTATATGTGGCATATAATTGGACTTGAGTTTTAAATGACATGGACAAACCCAAGTAAAAAAACTCAAAAACTTTGCAATGCAAAAATAAAAAGACTAGGTCTAGCATACATGCCAACCAATAGAAATGTTCTAATATATTTTATTCATTAAAAAAAATTAAATTAAGAACAAATGATGAATGTTTGAGTTTGTACTTGGGTCCAAAATAAACCCAAGTGAGGACTTGGTCTCTTTTTTTCATTGTCACATAAGCTAGACCATGTCCACTTTTAATTGCATTGGGAAGTATTTTTTTATAGGCTAAGTGTATTTTCCATGTGGCATGTGATTTTTTGTTAAGAGACCCAAATCATTGTGGGTGCTCTTAGAGGGCTTTTACTTGCAGAAATTTTTACTTGCGTAATATTACCATGCTAATATAAAGATTTTATCTGAAAACATTAATTTTCATACGGTTATATAATATGAATATGTATTTCACATTTTGAAATTTCTTTTTGTTACTATAGATAAAATTTAATGTTATTTATATCAACAGTTGTAAACTACAAATAAATTGAAAATCGTATTATTCTTATTAATTGGAATATTAGTTATAGAAAAAAATATGATAACTATTTAACAGTTCATTGTCACTGTAAAGTTCAAAATTGATAATTTTGAACCGCCAGAAGAAGCTGGAGAATCTAAAACTAATGTTAGGGATAGATTTTTGGTATATGACAGGAATATTTAGATTCATATAAATAAACTCGCACCTTGAAAAGATTAAATGTTTATGCAATTTTGGGGCTCAATCAATAGTTTTTGGTGTTATTTTGACCTGTGCTCAAACACCATAACACCATAAATCGAGAAATGCAACAAGAGTGAACAAGTTTTTGTTCGCGAATGTTCGATTCAGTTACATCACACCCAACCACAGCTTATTAACCATGCTGACTCCACAAGTCATTAACTTATAATACCAAGTCTTACATCACACAAATAGCCAAGATGGTTGTGTATTTGCTGTATTTTATGGCCCTATCTCATGCAGCATAAGCTTAGGAGCACATGAAAGACGAGCAAAATGTTCTATGGCGATAAATATGTCCAGCACTATCCAGACTCGACCAAAAACCGGAACTCAATGTATAAAAAACCCATATTTGACATGCATGCTTCAGCTGTGTTAAATCAGAATACCCCACAAGTCTCATCTCATTTGTTCGAGCTAGCTGCTTCTGTTGTGGCGCATTGTGACACGTATGGTTTTAACTGAAAAATCATGAAAAACAAATGTATTACACCTAATCTGAAATTAATATGTAGGTAGCCATGAGTTTATGACATTGCTTGTTAATCGGCAAGTTTTTATCATAAGGAACTATAAAATCTAGAGTGAGATAAGCTGATCCACTGACAACACACGCACAAAGAGAACAACCCTAACTAGTTCCTAAAATGGCAATATTTGACAAATGCGCTAGATAATATATATATATATATATATATATACATACATGAATTGTTTCCAATCCCATTAAACCTATGTAATTTAAAAACGTATATAATGAGCAACCACATTGCCTTCATCATAATTTTGTTCTTAATGCACTCTTATTCTGTGATGACTGATGGATACATTGAAATATATTGAATTTGAATACCTTGAAGCCAGTTAGATCTGGTACCACATAGTTTGGCAGCTTTTCAGGCACCACTACATAGCCACCTGCAGAGAAATATAGTTTACTGTCAGTAACTAAGAAGCTTCGACAGCACGAGCTTTCTTCTAAACAAAGTTATCATAATAGGTATATTACAATTTGATATATTCACTGAGTTATCGTTGCTTAAAATAGAGCATCATCACACATAAATGTCCATCTAAGACAGCGACTTTAGTATACTACACAGTTGCAAAGGCCACAGTAGCAAGTCAACACATGTTAAATATTTTGATATATTAACAAGCTCCACCACCCCATCCATCCCTGGTAAATGAATCGAGCAAATAATAGATAAAAGAGAAGGTTCACTACAATAACCGTATTCAAGAAAATCTAATAGCATTTCTGTAAACTTATCACACAACCTTACAGGGCCTCAAAAATCATTGTAAGACTATCTAGTTTTAAGAGTTCACATCAAAATTTTCCTTTCCTATTGATAGAATGGAACTTTTTTAGCATTATGCATGAGTTCTGACTTTAAGCAATGTCCACTTGTCCATCAAAAAAATGTTATCTCTATGTGAACAAAGCGTGGTGGATAATGGCATCAGAAATAACAATAGAAGTGTCAAAGTTTCACGCAGGGTTAACTTCCAGCTTGAAAACTATAGATAATGGCACCTTCTACTATTCGTCGTGCATAGTTTAGCAAACGTGAAAACATAACAAATTAGGACCTATCAAAATGCAGAATATCTCTAAAATTCTCATAACAAATCAGGACCTATCAAAAATGCAATTGAAACATCAACGTATATACCAAATTTCTATAACACACAATATAATCACTGATAGGGAACAAGGTTACTGATATAGACACTACAATACCAAAATTAATTTGACTCCACTCAAGACACTTCTGAATAAGGCATTTCCATCATAAACCTAACAACTATTAAGATTATCATAAATTACACAGATTAACCTTTTCGCGTATGAAAACCAGTGGGCTTGCAGTTTTTGCCCTTATAATAGCCTCGAGGGCTCCTCTTTGAAGTCAGGATGTCTAGAGACGATGTACGCTTCCTTCTAAACGCCCTCCCTAATCCCAAAATCAACCCTAGCGGCATTTTCTTCTCTCTTTCTCCTCAAATTCCTTCTTTTCAACTTTCTGCAGATACCGTGCAGGAAAGACTGAATTTTTAGAATACCCAATTCAAGAAATTTATCACCACCTCCAAAATTCACCAAAAATTCTATCAAATTACGGCCAATCAAGTAACAGAATAAATGAGAAATCCGTGAAATGCATTTCCAGACGCAGCCGTTTTCTCAACTGAACACAAATAATTACAAAATTATAAGTCCAATTCGAGTTTAAATAAATCTCATATGCTAAGTAAAAATGCTTGCACAAATTGAAAAACAAACATTCAGCAGAGATTAGAGAAGACGATGACGTACTCGTTTGTGGGAGCTACAGTGAACAGCAGCTTGGAATGAGGAAAGGGTTTGATGTGTGAGGAATTTATTTTCCTTGGGCTGTCTGGGCTTAAAAGTGCGATCAAATATAGGTATATATTTGGGCCTTACGGTCCCATGCCCTTTTTCATTTGGGGGATGAAAAGTGATTTTGATAAAGATAATAGGTATCAAAATCTAAAAGGACTTAAATTGGGGGATAAAGATGTAATTTATCCCAGTGACAATGCGAGTTCAGCTCTTCCCGGAATTGAACACTTGTTAAATTTGTGACTCAAAAATTCCAAATCATGGCGGATGAAAACCCGACGGATAATCAGCAAAGTACCGCCGCCATAGAATTCTCCGATGCCGAAAGCAATGGCGGCACCAACCGTATCTTAACCGCTACTCATTCGACAGCTCCAATTACAGCGGACGGTAATCCAAATGACCTCCTGCAAGATTCCACCGCACAAGACTTCTCGGAATCCGGCACCGATGCCGGCGATAAAGCAGACAGTGGTGACGTAATTACGACAAGCAGCTCTAATTCGCCGGTGGCGGAGAGCCTCTACTCTCTTATTTCATCTGTATTGACGAGTTTCGATTCCAGAGCCGACGCCACATCTCGCAGCCAAGAACAACTTGCTTTTTCCCTCGATCGTCTCACCGGAGGTAGCATACAACTTTTCCTTTATTATCCTCCTTTTGAATTACGTCTCAGCTGTAATGCTGTTAACTTTCTCATTTTTATATGAACATTAATGAAGGTCAAAGCTACTTTGGATTAGGGGTAGTTTTAGGGTGCTTACTACCTTCTCTCCTGCTCAACTCAATATTTACATTCTGATTTTGTTATGTTCTTGCTTTACAACTCACACATTTGGTAAATCGAATCAGTTTACACTTATTCTAAGTGTCACATGGAATGCTCTGATCTTTCCGATTTTGATTCTTGGATGTTGTCTGCTTATTGAATGTGGCTGCAACAACTGGACTGCTTAGAAAAGTGTATAACTCATTCCCTTTAGGATCATAATGTTCAATTTCCATTAAGCGAGCCTGATCATTGTGAAATAAGTTTTACAGTCTTGCCCGTATTCCAATTTACATAGGTGATGCGACGTATATAAGTGACTTGCTTATTTCGTTGGATATAATGTTTTACCTATTCCAGTTGTGTTGCTTCTATATACTTGTTAAACTTGAATCGTACATTCTGTTATTGATTTCATATGTTTTGGTGTCATGAATTTCTTTTTGTTTGCAGAGCTCGATAAATTGTTGGAGGACGCACCCTCGCCCTTCATTATGCAGCATGCAGGAAGGATTTCTGGCCTCAGGAAAAGGGTCAAAGCTTTGAATACTGTTTTGAAGAATGTACAGCGACAAATTGATAATATGGACCGAATGATGTCAGCTGGATTGGTGCATGGTCTGTCACTTCCTTCTCCTCGTTCATTTGTATTTTTCTTCTTTTCATGTTTTGCATGGTTTGTCACTACGTTATGTTTGGTACTGAAAAGCTAGCTATACTTATAGCTGATAACTAATAGCTCATAGTTAAATTCGAGCTTTTAGATGATAGCTTATGAATGATGGCTGAAAAACTAGCTGATATATCAAAAATGTTTTGTAAAAGTAGCTGATAAGTTAGCTGAAATAAGAAATTCAACAGTCTTTTATGAAAAACTACCTAGTAAAACTTAAAAGATAAACTCGAGCTTCTTTAAAAATCTTATCGCACCAAACCAAGCTTTTTTGAAAAAAAAACTTATAAGTTACGAATTTACGTGTAAGCTAGCTTATTAATCTTAGCAAGCACACTCTAAATGTCGAAAGTAAATTGGTTTTATTGAACCTCGTCAAATATACAATTCTTTTTCATGATTTGATCAGTTGTGTTATCCAGTTTATTATGTTGGTTCTGTATTTCAAGTGTAATTGAGTTCTAAGGAGGTCTTCCTGTTAGTTCTTTTCTATTTCTCAGTTCATTCAATTGCCCCATGCTTTTACCATTGAAATTGTTATCGCATGTGAGGACTGTAAGATGAAGTTAATCTGATTTCCATTTTCTGATAAAAACCCAATATGCCATGTTAATGTATAATGTGTGTGTGCGCGGGCATCATTACATCTCAAATCAATCCTCCACCTTGTTGCTCAGCTATCCTTTGTGGAAAAACAATTTTGTACGTTATATATCTGAATTCAATTTTCATTGGTTATTTGCCCGGTATTTTATATAATTGATTTGTATGTGCAGAAAAATTGGCGGGAGAAAGTAGCGGACAACAACCCGATTCGTAGTGGAGGTATTTGCCTTGATATTCACATTTCCAATTGCAGTTTTCGGCTATTTGCAGTAATTGCATTATGATTGTGTACTTGTCATTTAAGTAATCATTTTTACTTACAAGCTACTAGTTTTCACATTAAGCATCTCAAACTCATTACAGTTCATTTCAACTCTATACACCACATTACATCACTTGTGTAATTAAGAGCTTGTTTGTATACAAGTTTACCCAAAAAAAAATTAAATCTCAACTTAAAATCTAACTCAATTTTCACTCAACCTCACTATCCATAATATTATAAATATAATTAAATAATATCAATCATTTATTCTTATACATCACATCAACTTTAATTCAATATTCATCCACTCACATAATGTTAACTATCTATCACCTCCGATCATTTATCTCCAACTTTTACATCAAATCAATTTTAATCATTTTATTTTAAATATTATTTTAATATAAACTTAAAATCACACTAACAACTAATCATACCAACCTTTTCAAAATTAACTCTGGTTAACAAAAAAAAAAAGAAAAAAACAATCAAATACCAATATATTTGTAAACAAGTTTGTGCTATGATGTCGTCATGACCTGTAATGGATTTAAATGCACCTTTCGCCAGCAGTTGATATTGATTTGTAGATGTAAAAATATCTAGATGAACCATTTGAGTAGTCCCGTAAGCTTTTACTGAGTTATGAAATTGATACCTCACATCAGAAAGGGTAGTTGCTGCAAAAACTCATCCATATCCTGTTCAATGTGCTATTATCATGATTCGTGTGACTAACTGAAGCTGGCATGGCCCCTCTCTCATGATCAATTTAAAGTCGAACCTACAGGTCCAAACAAGAATAGATCGTCGTCATCATTATAAAGTGAACTTGGATTTACTGCAATGATTTACTATTTAACAGTGGTTATATATGTGGTCTTGAGCAAGTGATTAGTTTTTTTGTCATAAAATTTTACTTGCAGGGTTAATTTAGCACCAACCTGATGGATTATAGAGACTGAAGTTGGATTGACTGCAATGATTTACTACTTACCATTCAACAGTGGTTATATATGTGCAGTTTATGTTGTGATGAGAATGTGATGTATAAGTTATTTTTCCCCTTAATTCCTATGCGAATAAAATTCTTTCGTTTTGGTTGCCTTGCAAATGTCCTCCCCAAAGTGTTTAACGGAGACATACGCATCATTCAGACTATAAAATCTCATTAAAAAAAATACTTTAATGGAACAAGATTGTTCAAAACTAATGGATTGAATCGAATAAACAATAAGTCTAGTTTAAATTTTATTTTTATTTTTATTTTTTATTTTCGAGAACCAGATTGCAAACAGTGAAATTTATTTTATTTTATGGAGACAATCGCANTGTTTTATTTTAATTCAATTTTAATTTCAAGAATCAGATTTTGAAAGTGTGACTGGCCTCAAATTCTTTCCCATTCCATCACCACCACCCTTCCCTCATTTCATTCAATACAAGAACACCAATATACACACAACCCAAAAACCAGATAAAAAAAAACAAATGTGAACAATCCAAAGATAAATAAAACAAGCCCAAAAGTAAAACAACCAAACCAAGTCAAGAAAACCCTACTAAAAACACAACCACAAACCTAAAACTATCATCAAATCTAACCCACCCAAACACACACCTACACACCACACCACTACACCACCATAAAACACCTAAATTACACTTACCTACCTTATTTCCACCCCTCAAGTCAAGAAGAAACCTTCGAAGGCAGTATCAACTTTACCCCATGCAGATCCTCCGCAGCACGTGCCCCATTCTGAACAGACTCGAACGCCTGCTTACACACATTCGCAAAGCCCGTCATAGCCTGGAACACATGTGGCAGCCCCATCTGCAGATTGTTAACCGTAACTGCCCGAGTCACCCCAACCGCCTTCTCATGCCTTCCCCTCTCTTCCTCAGCCCTTGCCCTCAACCCTTCCACTTTTCCCCTTTTCTCCCTCAAATTATCCAAACCGAGCTGCTTAGTCTCCAAAGACCTCAGCTCGCCGGCCTTCCTCTCCAGCTCCCGGCACACGGCCTCCGACTTCCTCTTCTGCTTCCGCTCCTCCGCTTGCTGGACCACAATAGCGTGTATCATCGACAAAAAGCTCTTGATGCCCTCCGAGGCCACTTTGTCGGGGGCGTTGTTGACCGCCAGCTGCCATTCTTCTAAGAGGGGGTAGATGGATGAGTCCTGTGGGCTGGATTTGCGGGCCGGGCCTTGAGGCCCGGCAGAAACTTGGAAGAGGGTGAGGCGGAGCCAGCCAGAGAGGGACTGGATGTAGTCGCGGTGGGCCCGGATGAGGTTGCAGAAGGAGAGGTGCCATTGCTGGGCTTCGAGTTCAAGGCGGAGGGTCGTTTGGCGGTGGATCTCGGAGGTGGGCTCTAAGGAAGGGGTGGTGCAGTCGAGGTATTTGAGCTGCTGGACTATGTGAATTTGTACCTGGTGGTACTCGTACATGCTCCGCCACATGCTCGTCAACCTTTTTAAGATTATTTTGAAGAAATTAGGAAAAAAAAAAGGAAAATGTTGGAATAAAAAAGATTAAATAGTGAAATATATGTATATGTAATGAATCATAAAAAGCTAAAAATGAACTCCAAAAATCTAGAATTGCGACTAGGAAGTTTATATTTTGCTTCCATTTGATGGAAGAAGTGGATTTTTACATGAGTCTGTTATGGCATTTCGCGTAAGTTATTGTCAAGAGGGGAATTTGTGAACAAATTATGCGGAAACCAATTGGGAAATTGGAAGACGAAATTTGTATGATATAGTGAAAATTAAGATGGGGATGTAAAGGGAGGAATATTTGATCCTACCTTATGAACAAAACTGTAGGAAAGGCTTCGTGAAATAATTAGCACATCAAGTTTGTAAAATGTTGATTTTACGCTTAAAGCGTGAATTGGACTGTAGATAGTGATGATAATGATCATGATAACACTACAGGATCAATCAAAAGATAGTAGTAAATTTGAAACAAATAAATAAAAGAAAGAAAAAACACACTACAATTAGATCAGTGGAAGTCTTCTACTTCACACCATGAAAACAAAGCAATTTCCAATCCCATGATAGTGTTGAATTGACTTTGGCATCTAATGAGGTATTGACAATGTAAACCAATGTTTATACAGATCGTTAGACCACAATATGGTCTGCTCATACTAACTAAGCACCTAAATTGGAAATCATCTTTGCTATCTGTCTAAAGACTTTTCACCGGCCGTTTCCAGACTGGCACTTTTTGAACTCCTAAAACTAAGAACTTTACAATTTGCCCTTATAAAATGACACTCCAATTTTAATAAAAATAATATTTGGAACAGCACAAAATGACACTCCAATCCCCAGACACGCTTAATATATTTCAAATAGAGAGGAGACTTACTAACCCTTTGACTAGCTGAAGGAGCTGTGGATAAAGCTCTGATTCCCTCAATTTGATAATCTCGGCAGAGGTGGTCTCGATCGCCTGTAAAGCAACCATCATTTGTGATTCCAGCTTCTCGACTTCCTTTTTGGCCTTCTCGGTTTTGATGTAGTCGGCATTCTTCATCTCCAGTTTCCTTAATATTGCTGTCTTTTTCTCATGCTCCAATTTAAAATGTTCTGCGTTCTACAACATCGCACAAGACAGTTGTAAATATAATTTCCACTATTCTTTTATCATATTTATAAAATCACCACTCTCAAGTCTCATGTCATTTTTTTCAACTCCCAACAGCAGATTCATACAGATTAATCAACAGATACAGAATGTAAGAACAACACGAGTAACCATGTATCTATTATTCTACAAGAAAATTAAAAATGAATAACCAACAATCAGAATCAAATACCTTAACTTCCTGGTAGAGTTTCTTCTCCCAGGCGTATAACCTCTCGACTGTCGAACAATGACTCGAATTACCATCACCAGCCACGCAAGTCCCCACATTAGGATCCTCACAGAATTTCCCAAACGCATTCCATCTCGCACTGCCCGATCCCCAATTCCACAGCAAAGCACTCGAACTCTTCCCCAACCCAAAATCCCTACCTTCACCAATTAAAAAAAAAAAGAAAGAAAGAAAAAGGGAAAATCAATCACACGCAAAACCAATCAATCAATCAATAAACAATTAGCAACAATCGAACCAACCGGAGGATGCGAGATTAGAAACGGGGACTTCCAATAGCAACGAGAGTGGAGCCGCAGCATTTGCGGCCTTGAGAAAATACTCGTCGAGCTCTCGGATGATCTCTACCAGATCTTTGCTCTTGGTCGAGACCACCACCGCCAGCTCGCTGTTTTCGGTAGTGGTGGTGGCGGTGACCACCGACGGCGGCCCAGCCACGTTGGCGGCGGTGGCGGCGGTGGTGGTGGTGGTGGTGGTGGTGGCTGTGGCGGCATCCTCCCACTCCTCCTCGTCGGCCGACCGTCCGGCGGTCGGCATGAACGGGTCCCAGAAGTCCCAGGTGGATCCAGACGGGACAGGTGGTGGCGGTGGAGGAGGTGGAGGCGGTGGCCGGACNTCATGTATCGCTTTCGGGCTTTGCATCTCGACACCATTTCTTCTCGGTCTAATCGTGAATACCAACAACCCATTTTTTTTTCGCCTCCTCTTCTTCCTCAAAGAATCTCTTCCCAGTGTGTGTGTGTGTGTGTTTGTGTGTGGGGTGATGGAGATTGGAGAGTTAATGCAATTTATTTAGTTTCCGAAAAATTTAATGGGGATTCTTGGGGTTAATAATAAATTCAAAAGATACACATTATTGATTTTGTTTTTCTTCACTGCTCTAAAAAGGGTAAAAAAAAAAGTACACAAGTATGGAGCTTTACTGGTGTTCAAAACACAGACAAAAATAAAAAAGATACGAAATTCAGGCCCTGAAGTGCATAGAGACAGAGAAGGAGATGAAGATTCCAGTTAAAAGTCAATGGGGATGAGGAAATTCATACTGTGAATCTCTCTAACCTGCAGCAAAAGAATAAAAATCAAATCTTTTTTTTCGTAGGTGAATTTTATCATTAAATTCAATTAATTAATTCTCCACCTCACTCACTGACCAACCAAATTGAAAATGGCAAAACACGGAAGTAATGAAACAGGCTGAGGTACAAATAAAACATTAAAAAGGGGGAAAAAGAGACAAAGATACTTACAGAGTTCAATTTCATTGCTTGCACCGCCATTAATTGAGGGAGGATGTTAGAAACTTAAAATTAAAGGTGAGGGAGGAAGAAGAAGAAAGTATAAAAAGTGGCCTAATTTGCAAAGGTGAAAATGCAAATGTTGTTGTTGGGCAGAGCGCCTTACTAATTTTGATTTTTCCAAGTTTATTACGTAATTGTACTCCTAATTTCAATAATGCCCTCGACATTCTTCACTCCAAGTTAATCCTGACTTTTTTTTTTAATTTAAATTTTCTAGCCCTTAGCCACGCCTTTAATATCTCCTAATCGAGATAAGCATGCCAGCAAGTAAAATATAGAAAAAGTAAAGATTGCATATTATTACACCATAATTAGGACAAAACATAGAAACACATAGGCTTTTTGGTAATTAGAACGGTTCACCCAATCGGATCGGTCATCAACCGATCAAGTTATTGGTTCGATTGTCTAATGTTACGATCAATAGTTGAACCGATTGAACTTTTATTTAATTTATTAATATTTTTAAATATATAAAATCTTATATGATAAAAGTTATATATATAAACTTTATTAGTTAAATATTTGAACAAGTTAAAACATTAAAAATACTTAAACTAATTATAACTAACTTATATATATCCATTATATTTAAATATGTATTTTTTATATCAAAAATATTTTAAATATATTAAAAATTGTTTAAAAAAAACTAGGCCGTTTCAAACTGGTCCAACCGATCTTTTTTTTTTTTGGCCAGTTTTGACCTGTTCAACCGGTCGTTAACCATTTTTTGATCGGTTCACTGGCTACCGATTCATTCCAATGAAATGTGCCGGTCAACTGAGCGATTCTCGGTCCAACCGATTACGTTGCTTGTTGAGCCCTGATGGTGGAAATGTTCAGACCGGTCGATCCGGTCTAATTTTTTAAATCATGGTAATTAGCAGTTATCATTAGCAGATTGAATCAACTGTTTTGACAATGAATTGTAATAGTTGTTTTGATTGGCGGGAAGCCTCATAGTTATACCTAAATTAGCGTATAAATACACCCCTAAGAAATATATTTATTCGGGATTCTTAAATAAAGTATTCAAATACACGTTATTAATATGAGAATATGTAAACCACTATATGAAATAAAATTATTCTAAAGCTTTATCGTAAGGTGGGTCGATCTTTCATATTAAATTAACAAAAGTTCATACGGATATTAAGAAATGACATACTTTTGTTTATGTTATTTTTTAATATAATATTTCAATTCGAAAGTATGTGTATTTGCTAAAAGATAGATTTAGTTAACCGTTATGTCTCTCTAGCAAATGTCTTACTGTAAACGATTTCACTCCAAATATTCACTTATTTATCCAATAAATAATTCTTCGATGAAACCAACAATTGGTTTTATAATGGAGTCTACTTTCTAAACATGACAAGCAGACATGGCCAAACGGCCTAGACTGCTGATTTTGGACCTAAATCGGGTGTTTGACGGGCCATTTTCGTACAACCGAAACTGGCCCGAGAGAAGCACTCGGTTGATTCATAAATTGACGGCCCTATTTTAGAACCGACTGACGACTAAGGGGCAATTTGGGCATGAACCATAAAAGTTGGAAAAATAATAAAAAACTAAAAATTCAATTTTTCAAATTTTGAAGTTTGGCGTTGAATTGCCGTGCCGGACCTAGGAACTTGACCTAGACTGACCCAAACAAAACGTGGTTCCTGATTACAAACCGTGGTCAACGATCCGAGCCGATTCCAAACCTTGGCCATGTCTAATGATAATAAAAGAAATATCAATTAAAAAAATTAATTGTATTTTTCAATTAATTCGATAATATGATGTTTTTATTTATTATACGGGCTCCATAGAAAAATTGGAAAAGAAACTCGGCTTTTAAAGAAAATTATTGTTATCCCACTTATATGTAATTATAGAATGCTTTGAACTTAAATGGCAATTTTACATACTTCGTAATCTTATGTGGCACAATATTACGCTTTGTGATATGGATCGAATTAAAATTGCTACTTTTTTATACCAAATAAATTAAGTTTGAATTGACAAAAATACACATATTTAATATATTTAAACTATTTCATATAAATCTATTTATTTTTTTCTTTCTACAATGTGCACATTATCTCACTTTTAAAATTTTTTGTTTTGTCCATATTATTCTCTTATATGTTTTAAATAAAACTTTTATAAATTAAACTAATGATGTCTATGATTAATTTTTAGATTTTAAAATAATATTCTTAATTCACTTAGTTTTTTTACTATAAATTATTATATATTGTTTCTTAATTATTTATTTATTTTAACTTCAACAAAATATATAAATATATTTTTTAATTTTTATTGTGCATTTAATATTTTATCAAATACTCGTGCAGTACACGGATATCGTACTAATATATACATAAAAATACTAAGCCCCCTATATATAATTCACGAATGTGTTGAACTTAAGTGACAGACTCGCATGCTTTGGGATCCTATGTGTCAAGTTTTTAAGCTTTGTTGTTTGGCTTGGATAAATTTTAATTTATTTTCAATCCATAATTAACTAAACTTAGAATATCCATAAATATACTGGATATTTATGGCCTCATTCAAGAGCATTAATTATGTTTTAATACTATTTCCTATTTTAGGCGTGATTTATGTAAGAAACGGGGGATAACGGGTGTGGTCCCACGCATGTGAAGCGCACCATAGCAGAGAAAGCCCAGATAAAGCCCAAGTGAGGTTTCATCCCAAAACCAGTTGGTGGTATGTGGAGTAGTCCACTACACTTATAAATTAGGCCTCTTATAAATGACTCACAAGTGAGGGAGCGTATTAGAATATATTCAATTGTGAGTTGTCTCACATCGTTTATATAGGGAAAATATGCCTAATTTATAAGTCTAGTGGGCTACTCCTCCTTCCACCGATTGGTTTTGGGATGAAACCTCATCTGGGCTTTCCCTGCTTATGGTGCGCTTCACATGCGTGGGACCGTACCCGTTCGTACAATTTATATGGTGTTATTTTTTTTCAATATTTCTTGTAAAATTATAACAAATTTACTAACTTAAAGTACAAATATTTTTTAAAAAGACTATTTATTAGCAATTTTTTTATGTAGTATATCAAATTAATCATGTCTTGATGAGTTTCGATTTGATATCTATATCATACATACAAAATAAATCAATAATTTTATTTATCTTTATAGTTATAATTAAATTACCTATTAATATTAATTCAAAAAAATAAAATTATTTAAATTAACTTAACTACAAAGTAGTTATCAGATATAAATTATAAAGTAAATATATAATATAAGATGGTAAGTCGTGTAAGTGACAATGTCACTTTAAATATAAATAATAATATATTTTTTCAAAAAATATTTAAAAACTAAAGCAATTTTTGTCGTAATTATTATTTAATATTAAATATAATTTTCTTAACAAGTATGAGCACGTTTGTTACCAAAGATTAGATAAGATTGGGCACACTTATCTGCCCCCAAAACAATGTTTGTTAGGTGAGATTAGGGCCCGTCCGATTTCTTCCAGCCCGCGACTCAATCTTCCCTAATCTTGGTTTGCAGCGATTATTCGATCCGGCCTTGGGGGGCAAGATTCAACAAATCCCAACAGTACCTGTTCTGTGAAATTACGTTACTATCCCTAAATTTTTTATTTTAAGTCTGTTCTACCCTTGTGCGTGCAATAATTTACCCCCACAACCCTGACCATTATTGTAGGCTACGTAACACCATTTTATTTTGCAGAGGTTCCATTTTTTCTCTCAACACAGATCGATAGGATCAGTGAGCTACACATTTTACAAATTACTTTTTTTTTTAATGAATGGGGCTTATTTGTTTCCTTGTATCCCACAATAGCACGGTACCAACTAATTTGGGCCTTTTTTTTGTGTCAACGAACCGTTCGGGAGCTTCTTTTTCCTGTTGGTCCGACAATGTGTTTTATTTTTAATTTTTGTCATTGGAATGCGTTTATTAATTTTTATTTTTTATTTTTTATTTCCTGGTTGTCGTGCTCAGCGAGCCAATGGCGAGGAGAATAAAATGCTTGTTGGGGTACATAGATTTCCTGGGCTGTAGCGTTTGCGTTAAATAGATTAGTGACCTATATAACTTGCTAAATAGGGGTTGGGTGGTTATTATTTTTTCGTTTTTCGATTGAGATAAAAAAATGTGAAACAACAAATATAGTTTAGTCTTCTTTGTACAAGAATTTATAGGTTCTTCAATGGATAAATAATTGACGCGCATTATGAATGCTTTGTGTTTTAGATTCTTGTTGGTAAACATATGGACATTGAAATGGAGGACGTCGAAGTAATTTTGGTGGTTGATGATGAAATAAT